GGCACGGAGATAGAGGCGTTGTTTCTCTTATCTGGAAACCCGGCGACTCGATGTCCGGACAGGCTGTAGTTGGTACAGCCTTCACACACTCTAGTTCATCATCATAAACACAATCCAACACTAGTAAACACACACACTGACTGGATAACATGACCTCTCTTACCCTAAAACTACCCACTCTCCACACTGAGCTGAGGCAGCGCCGAGCTTCTAACTCAGGTTACGTCAGAGGTTAGGATTTAGAAACAAGAGCCTTGTTAGAAGCTTTACTGAGAAAGGACACTTTTTACTATAGAAGAACTCTGTCTTCATGTATTTTAAAACCAAATATCCACAATAAGCATTTGAAACAATATTTTTGGGACAGCATTTTATATGAATTAAAAAAAATTTACCTGCAATTTGCTCTTTAAAGCTGAGTGTCAAGCAGAGAGGCATTGGGTCCCATTTTTAAAAAGTCTTTGGTTTGACCCAACTGGGATTTGAACCTCAACCTCTCAGTCCCAGGACAGACACCCTACCAATAGGCCACTGAGTTGGTTGTGAACACAATTAACCTTCCACAGCTAGAGCTGGCCGGCCCAACACTCTACTCAGCACCACCCTTAAAACTTAAACCAAACAAAGCTTTGTTGTTCCTTCGCAGCAGCACATCCTAAATGTGTTGTGCTGCTAAGCTGCAGAAAATCGCTTTGATAGTCAGTGAAAGTTGCTGCCATCAGAGAAGAAATGCCGAGTAGAAAAATGTTCTCCATCATCTGAAGACAATAAGACAACAAGAGACAGAATTAAAGCTGGCTAATCTGGGACAAGAGAGGAATGTCGGGGAGATTCCATCGTGCTCTTTCATCCCATATGTGTGCTATTTAGGTACACTGATCCAATCCCAGAGCCAAAGTCTTCTGGATCAGATTTCTTCCTCTGCTCTAGCCACTGGACATACAATCTGACAATGATAATGATGATTACCTCAAATAACATGCCTTCCATTGGGGAAGGAGCTGAGAACACTCAGGCATGCACACAGGCACGCAGGAACACTTGAAGAGAGGCAATCTTTGGAGCTTCAAACAAATTACTGTTGGCTTAAAGAGAGTAAAAACACGACAGCATGCCATCCTCCGCCCCACAGGTTTGGGTTCTGGATGCGTAGGCGGGTGAAAATAATATAAAAAGATCATCTTAGAGACAGGGCCAAACCGGCTGCCTTTTTAGTGTTTCTGATTTCAAAGTTGAAAACAAAAACCACACATTGACTGTTCAGTAATTTCACTGCTGGTGACGATGCCTAAATAATCAGATTATTCTTTTTTAACCAGTTTGAAAGCATTTACAGATCTTTCCAAATATTTGCATGGAGCTGAAATTCTGGTTCCTGTTGGCTTGTTGTGATCAGCTTCTAGTCTTTAAGTAGAATAAACACGAGAAGCAACGTCGAAGTGTCACAACATGGTGTTAGATGTGAATCCTAAAGATAATGAAGGAGGTTGTTGCCTTGATAGTTTTCTGTAGGCCATCATGGACCATCATGGAACCACAAATGAGAACAGTCTGGAGGGATGGGCCTTCCAGATGTCATTTCTAAAAGGAATGTGGTGGTTGAGAAGGATCAAAGCTTGTTAGACCAAATTTAGATAGCTGGTGTTTGGCCTGCAGTCACTCTGGAGGGAAGCATTAGTGATATTACACACTGGATAAAAGAACATAAAACCTCATCCAAAACTCTGGATGTCCTTGGATGGAAACAACCTAACTGTATCATGATATCTAAGAGTTTTCAAGCACCATCAGGCTGAAAGAAATGGGTGCAGAAACATTGGGTCGGCCATGTTTGAGATTAAGCCAGAATGTCACGGGACTGGTGTTGACCAGTTCAAGACACAAAATATACAATATTTCAAGTAATTTATCCCACATATGGGATGTGCACAGGTAGTGTGTATAATAGTTGTGCAGATTTCCGCTTAATATAGTCATGAAGTGTCTTAATCGTGTCTCAGCTTGTTTTCAGATTGTGTCTACTGTATTCAAAATGTAGTTTTCAACCCTTTAAAAATGGTCTCACATTTCTTGTACTTTCCAACTTCTGGGAATTAACTAGATTTTATGCTGGAGACCCTCAGTTTGATGCTCTCTGACTTTTTAATTAGCTGAATAATTATCTAGTCACGGTAATGTTTATGTTCGCTTCTGCATCTTTTACCAGATCACTGCAGGACAGCAGAGAAAAACAATCAACAATGTCAACAAGATAATTCAGGCCAAACTGAAAATGGCTAAAGGGTTTCAAAAATGTCTCAGAAGTCACAGCTCTGCTGTCACTGGAAGGTTGAGAAAAACACTGAAACGTATTTCTACTCTAAAATGGTTGCATTAGGCCAATTTCCATTTTCGGAACTTCAGGGAGATTTTAACAGAACTTTGCGACATTCACAGTGCTGTGCCAAAAGGGTTTCCAGCCTATTGCAGGAACCAATGGCGTACCTGAATAGGGTTAGGTCGCTGAGTGGGAATTGTGGTAGACTCATGCTGATGGCTTTAACACAGTAGGAAATGACAGTGTGGATGGTGAAGCATAATAGAAGGAAAATGAAGTAAGCGGCATTCGAGCTGCTGAAGTGAAAGCCCCATTTACCGTCCTCATCACACACTGGTGAAATTACATCTCCACATCCCCGTGGGGAGCTGTAAGCTGTAGCAGTGGCTGCGCTCGGGAACCATTTGGTGGTCTGTCGTTACTAAACTCTCAATGCCAAAAATGCTATGCAAATCCCATCAATGTTTGTAAGGGTTTTTCCAAACAATGCAACTAAACAGTTTCTCACAGCAGCATTGTGAAATCATATTTTACCAGCTAACATCATAAAGTATCTCTTAGCCAATAGCGACGGCAGATTTAAATTCAAATGCAGTGCAGAGTTTTTACCTGAAGAGGGCGCAACACTGACAGTTTTAGGCAGAATATTTAAATTTTAACTAAGATGCACTAAAGTACCATTAGCAAGTATGACTACACCTGCCTGCAGCACGGTTGGACACACGTTTATATAGTTTATCAGCAAAAAAATTCTAATAATAAAGAAAACTCGAATGTGTATTTTTTTCCTTTTGCTGTAACTCCGTCAGCAGTTTGGAGGTTCCCAACGTTCTTTAGTTTGTCCCAGTTCACGGCATAAACAACTCACTCGTATTTCATTTGCCATCCAAAACACAGCCTAATAAGTCAAAAGCATTTTAGGAATTCTACATTTTATAGGCGTTCCCTGCTGGCAGAAGCTGGTCCAAAAGGTCACACGGTGGAAAGAACCAACCATCCTGCAGCTTTTAGATTTAGAAAAATAACAACTGGTTCAACCAAAAGATCTCTAAATCACAAAACACTTCACAGGGAGGGTTTAAAGGAGACAGAGTATGACTTTGTTTTAATTTATTATAATTCTAATGTCGATACAAAGCATGTTGATGAAAAAAATACCATGAAGCTTATGCAGGACTTTCAGTACCTTCCAGAATAAGGCATTTCAGTCACGAGCTGGCCACGCCCACCCATCTCCTGATTGGCTGGTATTAGCTGAGAAGCTCTGATATCTGGGGGGAGCTTGGAGGGGTTTTCTCCAGCAGAAGCTCTCGGTTCTAATCTAGTTTCCGTTGTTGTGATGTCACTAATGAGGACATTCTGAAAATCCCTGTTTCAGTCACACAAATGGATATTTTCTTCACATTTATGGTGACTCTACTGGCAGTAGAGACCCACATTGCAGTGCAAAAGGTAAATTTTGTTATAACATGCACCCTTTAAAGACTGGTCATGGATCCCCACAGCTGGAGCCATTCAACAATACCAATAAATTGGGGCAGCAGTAGCTCAACAGGTTGAGCGGGTTGTCCAGTAATCGGAAGGTTGCAGGTTCGATCCTGGCTCCGGACAGAGAATGCTGCTGTTGTGTCCTTGGGCAAGACACTTAACCCACCTTGCCTGCTGCTGGTGGTCAGAGGGACCAGTGGCGCCTGTGCTCGGCAGCCTCACCTCAGTCAGTGCGCCCCAGGGCAGCTGTGGCTACATCGTAGCTCATCAACATCAGTGTGTGAATGTGTGTGTGAATGGATGAATGATACACTGTAGTGTAAAGCGCTTTGGAGTCCTTACTCTGAGAGGTCATAAATTAACAATTATTAGGTTGTTTTACTGTTTAAAATAAGGATCAGTATATTGAGAACAAATTGATATATTTCCAGAATAAATCCGTCACACTAAGGGAAGGAAATGTAATCTTGAAATGTGAATAATTTATTTTTAAAATAAAGATAAAATGTTTTCAGAAAGTCAAAATTTTCTGGATGAAGCTGACATATTCTGCAATGATTGTCACCATAATTCTAAACTTCAATTAAACCTCTGAGAAAAACGAGTGACCTGCTCCCAGACTGAAGTTGAAATAATGACATTTATAACAACTTTAGCTTTTCCGTAATTATTTTGTTCTCTAGCTATGAGCAGAAACCGGGTTTTGACTTCTCATAGAGTTCTTGTAATATTGTTGTATGTGCTGCTGAACAGAGGATCTGTTCTCTGCTCCTAAGTCAGAGGGTTTGTTGGTTTTAACTGGAAACACACGATGAGAAAATGTGTTGTGTGTTTGAGGGATTTCACAACACATCAGCCTCTTCCAACAAAGGGCTCAGAATCTGGTTTTGTAAGAGAAGAAACTCAGAGTTCTTCCAGGTTCTCTCAGTCCTTCTTTTCCACACTTATCCATGTATCCAGTAAGAGCTGATAAGGAATGTCAGAAGTTTGTTGTCATGCTTTTGAAAGGTCTAATCTTCCTGACTCAGCTATGAGCGTGTCGGAGCAGCACAGATGTTGGCCGTCCGGCGCAGTAAACAAACCAATAAAAATTCTTATCAGTTCATGCACAGTAGAAACCGGTTCTCACTGCTAAGTGTTACATCTACTGTGGATACCAGCTGGAAGCCCCGCCTCCATCAGGTGCTTTTCTCACCTGTGGGACATTTTTTCCTCATTCTGCATCTTTGTGTCTCGCTGTCAGTCGGACACAGCAGGGCCTCTTTTTCTTCAGACGTCCTTTCAGATGGGATTTTTGGCCTCAACCTGGTCTGCTTTCCCCATCTGAACCCACAGGTGGTGCCGTCACGACTGCAGACGCTCCATTCACTCCACTCTCCTAGCAAAGCCAGGGGACATTCCTCTGGACAGAACAAAGACAACAGTTGATTATGGAGAAGGGTAACAAGAAGAGAAAAGAAGCAATGCTGTCTGAGGTATAACATAAATAATATTAAAAATAGATGGAAAAATAACAAACTGTTTTATTACTGTCCACCAAAAGGCCAAAGATGTGGGTAACGTGTGTGTGTTAGCACAACTTTTAATGAATCCATTGATGGACTTGAATGGATCTTTTAGAAAGTCTTGGTTAAACAAACATCTGATTGTTTAGAGTCAGTTCAGTTGACATGTTCTTCCTATCCATGAGTGGGTTTCCTCCGGTTTTCTACCATACTAAAAACATGCATGTCAGTTTAACTGGTCTTTAGTTGTCTGTAGGGGTGCAAGTGTGTGACTGTTTACTTGTTCCTGTGTTTCCCTCTGATGGACTGGAGACCATCCAGGTGTCCCTTACTACTCTCCTGATGACCCCTAGAGATTTACACCATCTCCCTGTGATCTGGTCTCAAAAGTGTTTTTCCTTTCTTGGAGTTGGAATTCTGCTGGCCGAATGCGCTCATAGATCAAATGTGTCATCTGAGATCATCAAGATTAAACTAAGACCAGAAACCATCTGATAGGCGGAAAAATGTTTTGACAACAACACCACAAGGAGTTAGTCGTGTTAGAAGAGTGCCAGATGAACCAGTAACAGACCACTTTTCCTGACTGGTTTTTGACATGTGACACAATCAGTCACAGCTTCAGCCCACAGGTTTTAGTAATCATCATTACAAACTTCAGATTAGACAGGACAGATTTTACTGGAACTGCTTAAGGTATGCACCAACAGTCTTACGTGAGACCATTACTGTGGCATTCAGACCAGATGTGCTTTTACTTCCAGAGAAGAACAGTAGCTGCAGATGCTGCAGGTGGACGGCAGAGTAGAATCAATCAGCTTGATCGGAGTTCAATCATGTATCTCACTTAGTTGGAAGGGAGGGATGGATTATACCCAGTAGGACACACAGATAAATCCTAAAACTTCTCTGAAGATCTCTAATGCGCATCACATGTTGGAATTACCTCAGAACAGACCAGGGTTTCCAGGTGGGTCAAGAGTCTTTTTCAGGTCTAAACAAAGCACCTTGCATTTTGCATTAGGCTGTCACTTAATGTGATTAGGAGTCATTAACGTTGTCTAACTTCAGCTGAAACAAACCCGATAACGATCAGATCAGAGAAAATCCTGCTCTGATGTGAAGCCAGAGAGGCCCATAAAACAGGCCTGCTGTTAATTAGACCTCCCATTAATCTCACTGACGTCTCCATGGAGCCGAGTCACGGTTCATAGGTGCTCCAGTCAGTTCAACCAGTTCGTCAATAAACCAGCACACAGATATTAATAAACTGGTTCGTTAGGCTGCTGCTAGTTTAAACTCATGTTTGACAGTTTTAATAGATTATCTTGAATATTTTTGTTTGTTTCACTCATCTTTCTTTATCAGTGTGCTAATACTAAATAAACTAAATAAAATACTAAATACTGTTATCTTCTTTTACACAGTGCCCTGACAGGAGAAATATTTATGGTCCACGAGGAGGAATTTTATCCTCACAATAAGATTTGTGGTTCAAATATTGGCTTTTCGAGTGTACAAAAGTTATTTCTCTAAAGCCAAAACATCACAGTAGACTCAAAAATACTAGCATGCCAGACTCGTCCTCTGTTTAGGGACTAGTCTGGTTACTTACAGGCAGAGAGGCACATGAGGGACAGGATTATCTAGCTCAAAAATAACCAATCAGAAAAGACAGTTGAAATGCCGACTAAATAGCGCTCGATGCTGTAGTTTTTCAGCTGTTGTCAAAAATGGCGTCTGGCAGCGGCGCTAACATCTGTCTGACCGAGCTTCTCACCCTATCTCTAAGGGAGAGCCCAACCACCCTGCGGAGAAAACTTGTTTCGGCCGCTTGTATCCACAATCTCGTTCTTCTGGTCACTACCCAAAGCTTGAGACCATAGATGAGGGCTGGAATTTAGATAGACCGGAAAATCGAGAGCTCCGCCTTCTGGCTCAGCTCTCTCTTCAACCTAACAGACCAGCACAACACCCACATTTCTGCAAACCATCGACATGAGTAATTCATGTCCCTTTGAATACCTCGAATTATAAGGTTTTGTTCCCAAATGGGACGCTCTCACCACCACCTTTTTGACCGTGTCACACGCCTCGTCCAGTCCAGACAATCCAAAAAAGGGAAAAGAGGTGGAGCTGAGGATGGGGCTGTTACGGTTGGAACAAATGAACCAGTGTAGCTACTTTGGCTAACCCAAGAAGCTAAGAAGGGCTCCAGTGGGTATCCCACCCGCACGGCAGGCTGGCTCCCATTCGAGGCTGTAGTCATGCTGGTCGCCTGTGGACATCTAAAATGGACTGGGACTGTTAAAGTACAAGCGGAGCCTCAGACCGCTGTGATTGTAGCTGGTCGCTGTGGCCTTTTATATCAACTCTTGCTCCACGGTCAGAGATCAGCGGGATATTAGCTAAATGCTAACCCGAAGCTAACAGAGTTTTTTCAGACGTTTTAGCAAGAAAAATGAGCTATTTAACCTAAAATGTTTTTCCAACCAGGCTGTAAACATGTTTGTTTCTGTTGTGTTTTTTCTATTTCTATGGTGGAGGCTATGCGAGTAAACAAGGGGTTTATTAAAAGTGGACAACCTCAGTAGGAGGTTGAAGAATTTAGATGGTGATGCTACAGACTCCACCAGGTCCTGTCCAAACAATGTAAACCCTACTTTATAAAAGTTAGGAACATTTCACAGCTTGTCTTGAACCCAATTACACATCTCATTATGAGAGAAAAGGGAGTTTTTATTTGTGCCTGTTTCATGTTTTTACTGCGACTTTAGCTCAGGTCCCCCCTGTGAGGACCATACCTTGAAGATGAACTTCTACATCTGATCTGCAGTATTTCAAGACTTTGATATTAGGCTGCCAACAAATATTTTAGTGTTACACAGACTTTCTTTGGCACATGTTTAGATTCTGCAGACAGAAATCAGAGGTCTGAACAAGACATCTCAGCCGTATACCAGTTCAAAACCACTACCGACAATTCTTTTCCTGTTAACAAGATGCTCTAAAACCTGATCAGGGGTCAGTTTCAGTGTCACTGAGGCATCAATTTAGGCTCAAAGCTCATCTTCTTCTTAATACTAATGATAGAATATCAGACGCATGTCTTGAAACCATAATATAAAATGTGCTAAATTTACACGCAATAAACGTATCTTATGAACGACAACCAAAACGTTTCCACACAAGAATCGTAAAGCTACACGTTATGGGTGGTCCACTAAGTAATGAAGGCTCCATAATAACAAAAAACTAAAAAATATCCAAGCTTTTGGAGCAACATTTGAGACGTTTCAGAAGTCTTTTCCTGATCATTTCATGCTTATTGCACAAAGACCACATTCTGCATGAAGTGAGCTAGAATAACCCTGCAGGGATCGGTGCTAAACTGTCCTGCCTTCTGCACAAACATGACACCAAAACTGATAAATATCTCACAAGAAACAGACAAGTTTTTAATTAAAATGTATTAAAAAGCTAGAATGAGAAGATTTTACTTTTGAAAATCACAGCCCAAAATAAAGGCTAAGTTGCAACACAGCGATAAACAATGAATATTTACTCAACAATAACTCGTGTTAGATGTTTTACGTCTGAAGAGGGTTCTGATTCTGCTTTTGTTTTTACCCATAAAACAGGATTTTCACATCCCGAGACTTTCATCTTAGTCATCTTTTGAAATAAAACACAATAAATGTATTTATTACTTCATTTCCTTCATCCTCAAGCTCAAAAATATGAGTTGATGTTTTTTTTCTAGAGGAAATTAACCCGAGTTGGAATCCCTCTTGCTAGATTTTAGGTAACTCCTGATATTGCAGTTTTTTCTTACCAAGGCAGTCTGCTTGGTGGGTGAAGGTTCCCTCTGGGCAGCGGATCAGACACTTCCCTCTATACAACCTGAAGCCAGGCTTACACTTGGTGCAAAAGTCCTGGTTGAAGCACTGCTCGCAGTCCGAGGAGCGACATTCTGTTGGGAAAAATACAGCCAGCTCCAAACCATTAATAATAAAATAACTAATAATACTAAAAGCCTGCAGTTCTGGAGCTACATGCGTCACTCTGACCATAAGGTAGAATCCATTCTGAGAACAGATTTGTGCATCAGACTGCAGGTTTAGTAAAGTAGAACGGATAATCACAGATGTACACTTCCCATGTCAAAACTTTCAGTGTTGTTTAAACCTAAACCATGTCCATCAGCTCACTTTCATCTAAATGTTTCATCCTGTGTGCAGAAAAAAAATCACAAAGGGGTCCATGTGCAACTTTGAGGTGAAAACGTGGTAAAGTCACACACCCTCCTACACATGTATCTAGTAGACATCAGCTGTTGATGGTGCAGCAACACTTTTATAAAATAAGTTCTCGTTCCCATAGAAACCCTTGTTCTTGTTGAAATACAGGTTGGTCACTCTGATTTGTTTATTTATATTGAGTAAAGGTTTTCTTCTACTCCCATTTCCTGCATTATCCACAGGCATTTACCGTAAATCCTCTAATACAAGCCCGGGCCTGTATTTGACTGAAGCTCAGGCCTTTATTGGAAGGAGGGCCAGTATTAGAGGCAGGCCTCTATTTCTATTTGAGCAAAATGAAGTAATGGTTCGCTGGAGTTTTTGACAATTAAAATTGCGCCCACATTTTCAAAGTTAAACACATCTCTTTTAACAACGGTAGTTTCTGCTTCAGCCCTCTCCCCCCTCCCCCTGCGCAGCAGCCACAAACTCACTGATGCGCCTGCAGCCTCTCGGAGTTCCTGCTGCTCTAAACATTAAAATAATTATTTCATTTTCTGTTCCTCACTTCTGATTACCTTCAATGATGTCTGTTTGTTGTAACCACCAGGTACAAAAACTAACTTGTTTTTATTTGACTATTTTTCTGTCCTGCCTGTTTATTATCTTCCTGCATCTCTTCTCAATCCTAAAGAAAAACTGCTACCTGGGTTCATATATATTCACCTTATGAGTTACCTTTGAACTGCAGTTCTAAAAGATCTACCGACCGCAAAAACAGCGGAGTGCCCGCTGCTTGGTGGCCGCGTGATCGTGCGTCACCGGATGACAAGGTGATGCTCCCTGCTCCACAGCCAAACGCATCAGGCACAAATAAAAGACAGAAAACATCAAAGGAAATGAACCGACATGAACGATCGCGTGTTAAATGTGGCGACACCTGATTGTTACTGTGGCCGTGCTCAGGAGGCAGATCTACCGACCGCAAAAACAGCGGAGTGCTCCGAGCTTGGCGGGTGCCTCAGTGATCGGTGCGTCACTGGAAGACAAGCTGATGTGCCCCGCTCCACAGCATGCAGCGAAACACATCAGGCGCAAATAAAAGACAGAAATCTTTAAAGGAAATGAACCGACATGAACGATTGCGTGTCAGTACCTACGCTCTGGCACAGCCTCCGCATGGTTAAAGTTACCCTCGCGGTCTATCACTGGCAAATCAAAAGTGAGACGATGACACAACCGCCCCCCGTACTTGCTTGTTACCACATTCCACCCGGCCACAATAAGAGACCGGCCTTTATTCACCTCCGCCGACTCCGGTCTAAATTGGAGACCCGGCCTTTAATTGAATACCGGCCTGTAGTAGAGGATTTACGGTAAGTCCATTGAAATAGTTTCTTCCAGTAAAACATTTTTATAAGTTAACTTAATCAATGGGCCCGAGATGCTCTGCAGCCGAACCAGAACCTTCTGCTAGTATGACTGCCCTTCTACCCTCCCAGCAGCAACATCATAGTTAACGGGTGACAACGCGGGGTTTTGCTAAAGATGGGGCAGCAGGGAGAACGTATGAGGTTGAATACTGGTGACTTTACACCAGTACATCTGTCTGATTCACATGGCAGGGATTTTAAATTACCTTTAATATTATCACTACGTTTCCTGGTAAGACGAGAAATCTCATTGGATCAAACGTGACTTTGGAGTTAACAAACATGGCGGAAGAGGAGCATGCTGCATGCTCGTCTCACCTCAGTTTCTGGTTGGCCACACGTCACATTCAACAGGCAGCAAGCTCATTTATCCTTGTTCCAACATCCAGCGTTTATTACCCCAAGTGACTCTTCCTGTTCCTCTAGAAGGATGAATGTTTGATTTAGTTTGTGTTTTGGTTTGGTTGTTCTTGTGAAGCACTTAGTTGTCTTTATCTTCAGAGGCGCCATATGAAAGATGTTTCTTCTTCTTCAACATGTTTGATATCTTTGATTTATGAATGGAGTGGTCCCAGCATCCTGAGCAGACTAGAGTGCTCGTAACATGCTACACATGGCTGGAAAATCTGATTTGATAATCTTTAGAGCTGTTACGATAATTGGCGGGAGAGGGGGCTGGGCTAAAATAGTCAGAAGTGGAGTATCACTTGAGAACTTGGCCTTTGGAGTTGGTTGTCGACTTCAAGAAGAGTAGCAGTGATAATATAAGGGGCAACAGGAGGTAGAGCGGGTTGCCTCAAGATCGGAGGGACATGGGATTGATTCCAGCTCCCGCCTGGGGTATCCTGCTGGTGTGTCCTTGGGCAAGACACTTCACCCAACTTGCCTGTGTTGGTGGTGGTCAGAGGGGCCGACGGTGCCAAATGGCAGCCTCGCCTCTGTCAGATGGCCCCAGGGCAGCTGTGGCTACAAAGTAGCTTACCATCACTAGCAGTGTGTGAATGTGAGAGTGCATGAAAGTGTCTGAGTGTCCTAACAAGCGCTATATAAGTTAGATTTATTATTATTATTATTATTATTATTATTATTATTTTCAGACTGAAAACCTCACAAGAGGGCCGAGTTTCAGCAACTGCTGAAGATATCAAAGCTGAGGCTTTATTTCCGCATCACAAAATCCTCTAATATTAATAAAAGATGCAACAAACCCAGCGTTAGTTTCAGCTCCTTCCCGCAGGAAGGAGATACCAGACACCCCAACCCAAACAACCAGTTGGCAGAACTCTTTACACAAAAGCTAACTTCTACAAAAAGTGTCATGGATGTATTCAATTATGTTCGATCAGTTTTATTCTCTTGTGTTTCACGTTGACTATTTAGTTTTTGTGTTTCATAGTTTTCTTTACATACTCATGCAGCGGTTGGGATCCTTTCCTCTCTGTCCAAAGTGTCCAGTTGGACAGAAATGAAGACAAGTCCCATGGTGGGATATTCCCCTCCTCTGGAGAAACAGGAAGAGTCGCTCTGGGCAACGAACACAACCGTTGTCCCGTGAACACTCCAGACAGCTCTGACAGTCCTCTGACGTCTCTTTGTGAACTGCCGGAGACAACAGGAAGCACATTAGGACACAAGAGGATTACACAGAGGACATATTAAAATAAAAGTAGAGGAGGAGGATAAGGAGACAAAGGAGACTCCATAAATAGTGCGACGGTGGCACAGGAGTTAAGTGCTCGCCCCGTAATCGGAAGGTTGCAGGTTCGAGCCCCGCTCAGTCTGTCGCTGTCGTTGTGTCCCTGGGCAAGACACTTAACCCACGTTGCCTGCTGGTGGTGGTCGGAGGGACCGGTGGCGCCAGTGCTCGGCAGCCACGCCTCTGTCAGTGCGCCCCAGGGCAGCTGTGGCTACATTGTAGCTCATCCCCACCAGTGTGTGAATGTGTGTGTGAACGGGTGAATGACTGATTGTGTTGTACAGCACCTTGGGGGGTTCCAGGACTCTCGAAGGCGCTATATCAAATACAGGCCATTTACCATTTTAAATCCTCAAGATGCAGAGATGCTATCATGACTCCATGAAAATCCCTGACTGAGCTCCTTCAAATACTAAACTGTGAATGCTGGAAGGCCTTAAAGGCACAGTGCCTTGAACTCTAAAGCAAAAACAATCTTGTTTTCTCGAGAAAGTCAGAGAGGACACCAAAATTAAACCACTAAAATCAGTAAATGGGTTATTGGGAACCGTCTTCCATCAGCCAGACCAGTCAAGTCCAGAAACAACAACCAGGACAAACCCAACAACCAGTCAAGAACCAAAAACCAGTCCAGAACCAACAGCCAGGACAAACCCAAAAACCAGTCCAGAACCAACAACCAGGACAAACCCAACAATCAGGACACAACCAACAACCAATCCAGAAACAACAACCATTCCAGAACAAACCCAACAACCAGTCCAGAACCAACAACCAGGACACATCCAACAATCAATCCAGAACCAACAATAAGTCCAGAACCAACAACCAGTGAAGAACCAACAATCAACAGCTGAGCTGAAGTCTCTAAAATCAACAGTAGAGATTAAAAGGTTCTGGTTCCAAGGGTTGATATCGTACTGCTGTGAGCTGCCAGACTCGGCCAAGCCCGATTTGTCCAATAGCGGAAGAATCAGTTCCACTTAACAATGCGGCTCCCTTTGATAAATGAGGATATTTATGAAGCAGTGACGATATAAATTACATTCCCAAATCATAACTTTACAAATTATTACAAATTCTCAAAAGATCCTGGAAGTAAATAAGCCCTCATGTCACATGTATGGATAGATACATAAGAAATTGTATCTCAGTGTGGCAGTGTGAGTGTCCTGTCACAGTGTCCCGATTGATCATGCGCCCTGGCTACTTGGCCAAGGCGACGTCCCTTTGGCTGACTGGTTAGCGCGCAGGACTCTCACCCAGGAGTCTGGGGATCAAATCCTGCCGGGGCCCTTGTTTCTCCACCTTCCCACATCTGCAACAGTTTTTTATTTTGAAAATTACAGATGTTTTACACTGAAACTGTGAGTGATTTCCTCTGCAGCCCTATGTTAACTACAGAAATTGGCATGTCCCAGATTTGGCTCGCAGCAAAATTAGAGCCCAATCCTATCTTTAGTGGCGCGGCTTCCGGGACGCAACTGAAAAATTCCAACCATAGGATCAACTATCTAGACTATAACCAATTTTATTTGAAGCAGAACATTCCACTGTTGTTCTGCCATACTGATGCCTCAAGTGTGGATTTTTGGTCAGAGGTTAGTGATGGTGAGTTCATGGCCCATGAAAATTTAATGATTGTTATTTGTTGATGCATTCACAGACGGAACAAAAATCAGAGTTTCAGGTGGGCCGATCACTGCTTTGTTCAGATTTTTTTTCTGATATAAAAAATGTCCTACATAACTTTAAAAAAATACTTTATGTGGATGGTGGTCTTGTTGTGCTCCATAAATGTACAGAAGTCCCAGTGTGGTCCTCACAGGGACCAGACTGTCCTCCTACACAACCATAAACCCCCTCTCACCAACCCCCGTACAGCTCATCAATCCAATCTATTTAGTCTATTTCTATGTCGACCATCACGCTGAGTAGAGAATTGGACCCAAAGTGCAGAAAACCCAGAACGACACAGAGTTTGAGTTCAAAAACAGCAATTCTTAATTCAGGAGGAGTCACAAAAAGTCCAAAGGGCTTGAATCTAAGCCTTGCATACAAAAACACTGGAAGCCAAAACGAAAGCTCAAACAGCAGGAACAGGAGCGGGTACCCAGGGAGCACAGGAGGAGAAACGCTGACAGGAACAATAAATCAGCAAACACTGAAGGACGAGACAGGGTTTTATACACCGAGGGAAGCAATCAGGGTAAACAGGTGTAAACAGAGTGGGGAGGAAACACAATAACCCAGAATAAGAGACGAACTATACATAAAAACGTACAGGGAACAAAAGATAAAACTGTCAGGGGAAACTTAAAGGCTGGATAGAGCCCGAAGAAGAATAACTAAAACCTGAAATATAAAAACTACAAGGCAAGGTAAAACATAATGAACACAAATAATTCTAAACAGTAAAGAAGCTGGAAGACTAGGAAAAATAAACTAAAGACCTAAAAGGGTTACAGAACTGCACTAAAGGGCAGGGGATAAAAATACCTCATTTAAATAAATGGCTGGAGCTGGGGCCAACAGGACACAGAACATGACATCTACTTTAGCTTTAATTTGCTGCTGATAACTCTCTGCAGCCTTTGTTGTTGTTAGTCTAGCAGCAAGCAAATAAAATGAATGATTATACTGATTTTTCTAATGCAGTCATGTTCTCAGACTCAAGTTTGAGCGAGCTCGGCTCGGAGAGCTGATGGCTGTGTAAAGAGGAACCCGGAGCAGATTTCCCCGCTGAGGTCTCGACCCGCCGACAGAGAGGCAGAGCCCGTCACATCTGCCATCAATCGGCAGACTTAAAGGACTTTTAGAGGAGCTGCAGGTTTAGGTACCATAAAGTGGTGAACTTCGACCTTTGCATGAGTTTTAACGAGCACCAGGTGTAACAAGCCCTGTCAGGGTTTCGGGAGAAAACACGGCAACACTTCAAATGTAAAACTGAACTCTAAATGTGGGAAATTAGAGGAAAAAGGAAACATTGAACCACAAAGTGAGCACTTTTTTTTTACTCTTTTTCCTCGTTTCTGCCTAGATCAAACATCAAGCTTAGAAATATTAAACACCAAGCAGGAAGTTATTTTTGCAATAAAGAATCTTTTTTAAGACCTCCACGTTTATGCAAAACCCTCCAGCTGGGTCTAGTCCATTTGGGTTTGGAACCTGCGGTTCTTTTATTAGAACTTCACATTTTCCTGCTGCCAGTTTCAGACCAGGATTCTCATCCCTGGTCCTGGAATGGACACATTCCCAATCCACAGCAGCAGTGAAGCAGCAACACAAAGCAGACTTCCTGCCTGCTGTTTGCTCTCATTATGTAACGGAGCCCTTCAGCGTGATCTTGCTGCAGCTTCCACCCAAATATCATAAAAATAAACAGCTTCACAACAGGAACGGCTAGTTTCAACAGTTTTCCTATTCTTGTGCCGACTTTCCACAACTAAATGTCACCAATCTTCCAAAGAAAGAGGAGGTGGGGATTTTTGTCTGAACTCAGCTTGATTAAAACTTTATTAACAAATGACACTTAAGCTTCACAGGATGTGAGTATTTCAGCACCAACAAAAAAATAAATACAAAGTTTTTTGTTTGAAGAACAATGCTAGTCCAAATATTAACAAAAACGTTCTGCCGCACAGGAGCATCTGTAGGAAAATGTCTGGATGAGAAAACAGAAACAACAACTGGAGTTGGAGGCAACGACCAGAGTGCCTTACTCTCAAAACTAAAAACAAGAAAAAACTAGAGCAGGTTTCATTTTAAAAACAACAGCAAAACAAATGTTTTTGTGTCTGAAAACAAAATCACTAATAAAAAAGTTTAACACCCAAACCGACTGATGAAAAAAACTACATTTATATTTGAATATAAATTATAAATGTAACCTCACAGTACTGTGTTTTTATTTATACTTCAATCTTTATTTAGAGTCGGTAAAAAAGGACCCTTCTTATTTATTAAGTAAAACAAAATAGAATATCTTCATACTTACTATAATGTATTAAAACTTTATGTATAATTCATATCGTTTGCAAACACCTATTTAAGCATTAATAGGTAAATCTGAAAGTGCTGAAATGAAGCAGGATCACTATTTGGCAGGAAGCAGGCCCTTTTATTCAACTCATTAAATCCCTCATAAAATTAAAAGTCCTAAAATAATTTCTCCATTTGGTTTTATTTTATATTTGAGGCAGTAAAGGTTTTATTAAAATTTTGGGTAATGTTAATTATAATGGAATAATTTAAACTTGTTCAAAAAGTTTGTTCTTTACTCAAATGTTTTGTACCTAAAGGCCACCATAACTTTGATTTATTTATTGTTCATTTTGGGCCAAAAAACATTATGAATAAATATAATTTTCTAAAATACGATATCAATGTAAGGTTATAGCATTTAACTTTTTGTTCAAACGTCTCATTTATTTTCCTCAGTTCAGTTTTTTTTAATAAGATATTGAGACAAAAATATGTTTTACCGTCCAGTCTAATTCAATCGGATCAAAAACGATTGAAGTAGAAAATATAATAAGACGTTTTAATAACGTGTTTGTGTTTTCTGTTTGCTAACTGGAGAAAAATTATTTAAGACAACTGGAAAAATCAGACCCAAGAACAGATTTAGGACGGGAAACGATCGCTGATTTTCTGCTCCAGCATAAAAACCCAACTCTTTCTTCAGATGGTGCTTGGACTTAATTCATTCACAGATTTATTAGAAGGTCTAATTTAGTTGTGTTGAATAAATGTCATCATGCATCTGGATTTGGATGCTCCTGAAGCATTCTGGTAAAAAGCTTGTATTTAATTAATTTAAATCAGAAACATCAAATTTAATCTAAATAAGAAGTTTAGATTAACCCTTTGATGCATGAATTATGAAATTTTCAACCATGATTTTTGTAACATTTTTTTTTTCATTCATCTTTAGGTGGGAATGAAACAAATTTCAATGAATATTTATTGTAAAATGTTATAATTTACAAATAATTTATTACATGTCCACCTCAGTGGACGGCGTGCGTTCTGAACATGAAATATGTTGGCTTGACTTGCTGAAGTCCAAATGGAGGAGCTCAAATGCAATAAAGTCTTCAACAGCTGTGCTTAATAGCAAAAATAAATAACAATTTTGAGTACCTGTCCACTGTAGTGACCATTATGCACCAACGGGTTAAACAAATCCTTCATAATCTCTCCTGTTTAGTGAAGGTTGGATGTTCCCTGAGCCTCATTTGTGTGTTTTAGAATAAAACTAAACTGCGTTGGATCCGAAGTTCTTCAAACATATTTATATATTTCGGAATATTTTTTTGAGCTCACGCTCCGACTCTCCCTGGAGAAGATCTTCAGATTTCTCCTCCAGCTCTCAGATGTGAGTGAAAACACATGAAGCAGATGAACAAACTCAGCCTTTATTCATCCTGAGTCTGTTTGGTTTATATGAAACAAACAGTTAGGAACAGCTGTTTATAACTGATAATAAATGAGAAAACAAAATTACATTTGTCGCATTTCTAAACCAAAATGTTTTCCAGTTTCTTTGCAAAAAAATAAAAATTAATTCTACATTTCATCAATTTATCCTTTCGCAAGAAAAAAAGTTGGTTCATGTTTAGTCATCAGACCGATAACTGAAATAAATGATTGTCTAGAAAACAAGCGGAAAAGACAGGATATCATCATTATGAATAATTTAATATTCCAGCTTCGCCATCGCTTTAGACTGGTATAAATATTTACCTTATATTTCATTTTTAATCCATTTCACTCATTCTAAAGAGTAAATACCGGTATCAGCATTTGATTGAAAAGGGCGCAGAAATATGAATTTTCTAATCATGTGAGGAATTGTCTCACATTCACTGGAACACAGTGGAAACGTTTCTCTGAAGCAGAAGGAACAGTAGCATTTTACCTCCGGTTTCCACCGTTTCTGTCCCAACTCTCCAGTAAAATGCTCACAGATGCTGTCGATTACCTACAGTAACACCGATGCCCCCACCCCACCCAGACCTCTGCACCTCAGCCTTCACACTGAAACACTACACGCTTCGGTTCTGCTTCTGTCTCCCTGTTTAAGAGGCAACAAGAACCAAGTCCAGATGCCACGAAGGCTGAAAGGGTGGAAAGCTTAAAACGGAGGTGCAAAAGGAGAGGATATAAGGAGCAGAAAAGGAGAAATAAAAGACAAGTGTGATGAGTTCTGACAGGTCGACCAGTTCATAACGCTCACGTTTGACCCCCAGAGGCCTTAAAAAGGGTCTCGCTTCCTGTTTGGAGCCGTTAGCTTCGCACGTCTAAATCAGGAAATTAGTCACCAAAATAACCCTTGATAATCACAATTAACCAGCATCTGGAGGCGTCATGCAGGACCTGAAATTATAGCCAAGCTTTTTTTGGGGGGGGGGGGGGGGGGGGGGGGGTAGAAAGATGACGTAATTGAGGATGGTGTTCCCTCCATTATTACTAAATTCTTGAGGAAATGCTGGTCAGCGGTGAGCACGAGGGTCACCACGTTCCTGTCTGGCTTCTGTTTTATGAGGTTGATGGAGGAAACTCTCATCAGACAGAAACAACGTGGAAAGCCAACAAAACCAGCAGCTTAGCAAGAAACCAATAAATACTGAGTAGAAAAATAAACCAGGTTTTTTTAATTCTAAATCCCCTGCAGTGTTTCAATTATGAGAGGATTTGTGTTCTGGATTTGTTTTTCTTTCAACTCTTTATTCATCATTTTTTTCACACTTGACTCAAAAAATTAGCTCTGAAGTGATTAGAATACGTAGTTTTACAAACATCCGCTTTCTCATAGATCAGAAAGATAAATTCAGCATATTTAACTGAAATTCACATTTTATGAAGTTTGATTCATATAAATTAGAATTTTTTTTTTTTTTTTGCATTAGGCAAAGTTGGGTAGCGGTAATCATCACAGTCCCCAGGTTTACTCACCGTTCTGCCTCTGCACCACACTGGACCCCATCCTGATCACCTCACATAGGAAGGACATCACAATGGCAAAGAGTCGCAAATGCATCTGGGCTGCTGGCAAGCGCCCGCTTCAGACATCTGCAGGGTCTCCGAGTGTGTGTGTAGGGTAGGCTGGAAATGTAGCTCCACTGTCAGGTACAAAAGAAAAGGTGAGGGATGGGATGGGGGGAAGCAGGCAGATGATCTTAAGGCCTAAAACAGGAAGGAAAGAAGCGATGAGACAGGAGAGAGAATCGTCCTCTCCTTTAGTCCTGGTCCACTCCCATGATTTAGGGCTGATGCAAGGAGACGGGCGGTCGTAAACAACACCAACACCGGAGAGGTTGGAGAGCTTTCTCTCCAAACTGGCAGTTTGGAGAGAAAGCTCAACATTTAACTACCGCTGTCATAATTTGCGATAAACGAGCTCCACTTATCCCATCGCCATCTTTAACCCTTTCCAGGGTGAGCTCTCTGGGCCTTAAGTGCTTCCATATTCCCAGCCTGGTCTCCAGCCCCCCTCCTCCTCCTGACTCTACCTATTGTTTTTCAGTCCCTTTCTTTATTTCACCCCTTCATGCTTTTAGCGATTGTTTTCTGTGGCTGACTTAGTAAACGTCATTTGTGCAGCCTGCTGCTGGAGAGCAGCAGTAATTACACGCTGCCGTGTTTGTGCTCGTTTGCTTGTTACGGCTTCAAGTAGAGCTGCAGAGTGGGGTGAGATCCGCTCACCTGCCTGATGTCACACCTCCCAATCAGGCCAGTTACTGATGAGAAGACCAGTTTACAGCAACACCAGTCTGAAAAACAACATGTTCGTTAATGACGGTACTAAGTCCGTTCTGTTTATCTTTATGTGAATTACCAGATAAATGGTATTTCTGAGACCTTTTCACGCAGATGTTGTTGATTCTGTTTCAACACAGCAATCAGCCTTAAGAGTTTAGAAATGTATTTAATCATGACTTGGACTTGGGTGAGCAGACGACAAAACAATCCAGCAGATGAAATTAAGGCTTTGAGAAAAAATAATAGACGCATCTCAGACCTGGACCTGGACATAAACATGGACTTGGTGCTGGACATGGATCTGGACCTGGAGCTGGACGTGAACATGAACTTGGACATGGACCTGGTTATGGACTTGAACCTGGTGCTGGACATGGATCTGGACCTGGAACTGGACATGGACCTGGAGAAAGAAAGAAAACAATCTTTATATAATGCTTCTTAATATAAAAATCACGAGGTGCTAGATATTGATCTGGACCTGGAACCTGACCTGGACATGGACCTGGACCTGCAGCTGGATACGAACATGGACTTGGACATGGACCTGGTGCTGGACATGGATCTGGACCTGCAGCTGGATACAAACATGGACTTGGACGTGGACCTGGTGCTGGACATGGACCTGGACCTGCAGCTGGATACGAACATGGACTTGGACATGGACCTGGTGCTGGACATGGATCTGGACCTGGAACTGGATGTGAACATTGACACGGACATGGACCTGGACCTGCAGCTGGATACGAACATGGACTTGGACGTGGACCTGGTGCTGGACATGGATCTGGACCTGCAGCTGGATACAAACATGGACTTGGACGTGGACCTGGTGCTGGACATGGATCTGGACCTGGAACTGGATGTGAACATTGACACGGACATGGACCTGGACCTGCAGCTGGATACGAACATGGACTTGGACATGGACCTGGTGCTGGACATGGATCTGGACCTGCAGCTGGATACAAACATGGACTTGGACGTGGACCTGGTGCTGGACATGGATCTGGACCTGGAACTGGATGTGAACATTGACACGGACATGGACCTGGACCTGCAGCTGGATACGAACATGGACTTGGACATGGACCTGGTGCTGGACATAGGAGGTGCTTCCTCTTTCAGCCTTTTCCTGACAAAACTTAAGTTTTCTGTTTTATCATTAATTCAACCAAAGAACAGTGAGCAGATTGTGTCTGTGACACAGCGCTGGTTCATCCCTTGAGTTATTTGACCTGAATGGTTCAGAGTTAAGGAACTTAACAAATAAAACCATCTGAATAAGTTCAGGACTAAAACTTCAGACATTCAACAAGTCTGGAGAACTGAACCAGACTGATTAGAATCAGTGGCTTTGACAGCACACCTGCAAAGATCAGATTATTCAGGCTAATCCTGTATTCATCCGTTAGCTTTCACATTAACTGTTGAGAAAATGTTCTATTAGGATTAATGTTTCAGATTTATGAGATTCCTGTAGGCCATCCTACGACCCCTGAACTTTGGGGTGTGACTTAACCCATTTAGTGTTGGTGCATAACCAGTTTGTTTAATTCTTTTTAAATAGTTTATTGAGTAAAATATAAGTATTTTTATTTTCTTCTTGTTCTTTACTCACTCCCATTTCCTCGTCTGTTAGTTTAACGTTATTCAGACAACCCTGAGTAAAGCCTTTAAATGACCATTAAAGCTATAAGTGTAATCAGAGACCGTCGTAATGAAGTCCTGCTCTGAAGGTTATGGTGACCCAGTCCAGACAAATCCAGTTACGATGTCATGTCTTCATCAGGAAAACAAGCCAACTAGATCTTCTTGATTTTATTTGATTTTTGAGTGATTTGAGGTAAATTATGAAACAAAACATTTTCTCCACACATGTCTGAATCAAAACAACGATTATGACTTAATATCACAGTGCAATATCTCTAAAACATGTAATATGAAACAAGAAGTAAATAATAATTATGACAGTGTTTGTAATTTTATTTTGTAGATAAAAATATGAACGTCATGATGTATAGTTTGACTCTTTGGGCTATTTCACAATAAAGTTATTTATATTTGTTGAATCAAGAAATTTGATTTACCAAAGTTTTCCTCTTATCTATATAACAACAAGCACGCCTCCTCCTTTTTCCTGGTTACCATGGTGATGGGTTCTGCAAAAGCAATGGTTGGGAGGCTTTTTGCATTGAAGGCAGTCTTAATGAACACTTTCGACCTAAACGGAGATGCCAAACAACGCCAGATGTTCCTGGATCCTTTTTCTGATTAGCCTCCGTTATTCTGGAAGTAAACGAACACGCCGCTCGCAAATTAACAGACGGGAGATGGAGGTTAATGTGACATGTGGTCTGAATTCAGCAGAGTTTAACTAAATACTGTCTCAAATAAAACAAGAGCTGCTTCAGCTGTATTCAAGCGGATTTGAGCTGAAGTGTGGACGTTTTAGCCAATTCATTCCTTAAAGGATTTAACATATTCTAAATGTTATTTCAAGTTTGTTTTACTTGAATAGTAAAATAAATGTTTGTTGGCTTTGATTTAAACAGAAAAGCTCAGCCTTCTTTGCATTTTCATCATAGCAGATGTAGATGATGAATAAATCTAAAAAACGATTTCTGTTTGAAACTCTGTGATGTCACCAGACGGTGACTCGGGAACTTTTCATGTGTCTGATTTTACTCCAAACCTAAATAAGTCACAGTTGTTTTCTGTTAAATGCAGATTTATATATGAATGTGTCTGAAAATATAGGGTTTTACTCAGATTTTGAATTTAAAGCCTAATGTCTTAGTTTTAAAATAAATCAGATGAAATCTTATTCTGTAAACAAACTTTGAACTAGAATGGGCGACAGAGGCACAGGAGTTACGAGCTTGCCCTGTAATCGGAAGGTTGCAAGTTCGAGCCCTGCTCAGTTTGTTGCTGTAGTTGTGTCCTTGGGCAAGACACTTAACCCCCTTTGCCTGCTGGTGGTGGTCGGAGGGACCGGTGGCGCCAGTGCTCAGCAGCCTCGCCTCTGTCAGAGCGCCCCAGGGCAGCTGTAGTTACATTGTAGCTCATCCCCACCGGTGTGTGAATGGGTGAATGACTGATTGTGTTGTAAAGCGCCTTGGGGGGTTCCAGGGCTCTAGAAGGCGCTGTATCAAATACAGACCATTTAGAATATTTTTTAAACTTTTTTTTCATAAAACGTTTCATAATGCTGCTGCTGTACTTTATTAGTGCTATAATATGTAAATAAAACTTCCTAAAGTAGCTAAATGTTGAATTATTTAAATAAAAGCATTAAGACCAAATTTCGGCAAAAATTATTATATGTTCGTGTAATTAGTGCCGTTTTATTTCAATCTGATGGCAATAAATATCTGATCTATTCTCTGTTTCCTAATGTTCTGTTTGAACAGAACTCTTGTTTTCCTTGGTTTTATAGTGTAAATGTTTCCTGTCGCGTCGTATGATTCTGGAGGTTTTCATTTGTTTGGCGCTTCCCGTTCAAAGACAGCTGAATTCCTCCGGTTCCCCTTTGAGACGACTTTTGATTTTTGTTAAGATGTTTTGTGGCACCAGCTTCTTTAGGGGCTTGATGGACAAAACCAGAGACACTTTAGTGTTTCCTCAGCTTCAGGCCCTTTCTCTGGTTTTAGCGGCTGATCCAGAAAGTTTCGACTTTAATCAGGTGTTGGTGGTTTGATTCTGCAGGGTTTACTGTTGGGGACAAATTGTTCATGATGATAAATGCTGAAAGCTGAGAGGCGGCGAAGATGCAGAGGGTGCTGCAGTGCCACCTGCTGTATAAACTAGGTCATGCAAGTTCAAAATATGAAGATAGACAAACGGCAAGATTGTGCTGTGCATGATGCAATAACATCAAAAGGTATGGGAGGGATATACTAAGGTCCTCGTGTTCACATCTCTAGATTCCAGTCCCACAAAATCTAAAAATACTAAAATATTTAGAAAGGACCACATGGATGCAAATTCTAACCATCAGCAGCCAGCGTGAGTTGGTTTGAGTGGGAATGAGGCGAGGGAGTGGTGTCCTGGAGAAGCCACAACTACCTGGTGCTAAATGTGCAGCCCCACCCCACCCTGTCTGACACTCGCATCACGATGGTGGACTCATGTCGCTTCTTGGGCACCACCCATCACCCAGGACCTCAAGTGGGAGCCCACCATCACCTCCATCATAAAAAAGGCCCAGCAGAGGATGTACTTCCTGAGGCAGCTGAAGAGATTCAACCTATCAGCACAGTCGATGAGGCAGTTCCAGGACACTGAGGCGTGCAGGTCGGATCACAGCTGACCCGTCTGATTCTGGACACAGTCTCTTCAACTCGCTCCCATCTGGCAGGAGGCTCCGATCCATTCGGACCAGAACCTCTCGCCACAAAAACAGTTTCTTCTTCCCCTCTGCGGTCGGACTCATGAATGACAATCGTAGACCTGCCCACTCCAGCTGCTTTGGCTCAGTCACATGACCCCGGTGTTGTGTTTGCACCTGAACTGACCCGCTCTGACCAGAAACTACACTGACTTGTATAAAGTAGCTGCTTCTCTAATTATTGAGAGAGGTCTTACCCCCAATTCACACCAGGAGTGTCAATAGCGTGTTAAGGCCGAAGCACAGTTCTGCTTCAGGTAGAATCCATTACAGTTTATAGTGTGATTCACTCCGGTCGCGGTGTTGAACATTTCAGGTGTGTTCCAGAAGCTTCCACCGTCTGTGTTCAGGCTGAACATCAAGCATTACTTTTCCTGCTCTGTGGGAGGTCTCTGTCCTCCCTGAAGGCCTGACTATCAGTGGTTAAACTTTATCGTGTGAAAAGCAAATTATACATAGACTATCCACGTGTTTTTATACATTTAGGTCCGCTGTTTTCAGGTCTTACGGAGCAAGTATGCTTTTAGGGTCATTCTTAATCTAAGTAGCTTAATATAAGACTAAATGGTTCTCCAACTGGGAGGGATAAACACATCCATAATTAAAGAGGAAGCTACTCTTAACAGAGAAATGAAACAAAACTTTTTTAATAATGGAGGGTCTGATGTAGAAGATGAGGGAAGTCGCTCCTGGAGCTGCTAAATCAAATCAGCCTGTTGAACAGCAAAGATCAAAAAAGGATGTGTGTGTGTGTGTGTGTGTGTGTGTGTGTGTGTGTGTGTGTGTGTGTGTGTGTGTGTGTGTGTGTGTGTGTGTGTGTGTGTGTGTGTGTGTGTGTGTGTGTGTGTGTGTGTGTGTGTGTGTGTGTGTGTGTGTGTGTGTGTGTGTGTGTGTGTGTGTGTGTGTGTGTGTGCGAGCGAGTGTGTGTGCGAGCGAGTGTGTGTGCGAGTGTGTGTGTGTGCGAGTGTGTGTGTGTGTGCGAGTGTGTGAGTGTGCGTGTGTAACTAGTCTGAATATTTTCGGAGGAATGTGAAAAGAGAACAGGTAAGTCGAGGACACAAGTTTATAACACAGATGCGACCAAGGGAGCCATCTACAAAATACAAACACATAAAACTAAACGAACACAGAAGTAAAGCAAAAGCAATAACAGTAATAAAGCCATGGTTAACCTAATAAACTGGCAGATATTAACAGAATATGGCAGCAATTCAGTAAACCGAAAAACAAA